ATATATAGAACATTTTGTTCTAAATAAGAGTTTTTAATTTTTGTTTCGGATATTGATGAATGTTATGAGAACGCAAGAGTCTGCCTGAAGGGACGTTGTGAAAATATACCTGGATCCTACCGGTGTGTGTGCCAGGATGGTTTTACACCATCATTGGATGGGACATTCTGTGTAGACTTGGATGAATGTTCTCAAACAGGGATGTGTGGAAATGGCAAATGTGTCAACATCGATGGTTCATTTAAGTGTGTCTGTGATTCTGGTTATCGACTGGGCCCTGACAGTAAGGTGTGTGTTGGTAAGTAATGCAAAACATTAACCAACATGAATACCTGCAAAAAATTAAATTAAACATTTGAAAACTAATGACTTAAAATTTTTTTAGAGAACTTATCATCATATTTAAGGTATAGAGATGATGTTTTCACAGATGCGACATGTAGATTCTGTATAATAAAGACGCGTCAGTCAAGCCAGAAATTAAATGTCTAGCGCTGCACTGGTCACTGATTTTCATTTGAGTTTTCAAAGCACCACTTTGGTGAGATTTGACGTTCTTATGGCATTGAAGATGGTGATTGTTCTGGGTTGTGTTTCCAAATGGGCTTATAGGTAGATACCAACATTTCAGAGAAACAGCCCCTAAGCTGTAGACAGTATCTTTCTCTGATACATTGTATGTACCTTTGAGTCCCCATGGCGTTACAACCCACAAAATAATTATCATCAACAGTTTCATGTTGTTTCATAATAAAAGGTAGAATATAAACTTGGGTGCTTTTAGGTGGTTCAAGATACAGCACATCCTCAATTTTTGTTTCAGATATAGATGAATGCATAAGCAACCCTTGTCAACATGGGTCCCGTATAAATTCGCAAGGCAGTTTCCGTTGTGAATGTACCACAGGGTTTATACTTGGTCCAGATGGAAGATCATGTCTTGGTAAACATCACTATAATATATTAAATTACTCATAGGGAGTGACATTACTGAATTCTACACATATTCAAAATGCACATCATATAAACACCCCATATGCAGTACAACGACGCATCCTTCCTGCCGTGACCCTCTAAAATTATACGCGTTTGTCATACAATGAATCATTCTTGATTTTGAGTACTGCTGTCGAATGTGTTGCACGGGCTTTCCAAGGTACCGTACGAGTGTCCATTTTGTATCCTACGAAACGGACATTTTAATTGTAATCTCATTTGAAGATACAACTGATAAAGTTAATTATATA